AGATGTGTCTTCAAAGAGAATGGCTCTAACTTACAACTGTGAATTGCTTAAAGAGAGAAAAATTAATAAAGACTGAATTGCTCTGATGATTATTTAGCCCATAACTCACCTATTCATAACAACTCTTCATAATCAGACCGTTGTTTCTCGCCCTCCGATGCGAGCCAAGACTGTTTCCTCAGCAATTTTACCCTTATCAGATTATCTCGCCTGATTCTATTAATTTTCTTCCATGAATCTGCTAACAGCAGTCTGTGATTTACTTACCCTGCTAAGTGAAGACAGCTAAAAGGATTTATCTAACACTAGACCTAAGAACGGAGAATGTCTTATCACTCCAGTCCCCTCCAGAACTCTTTTTTTCAGATCAGTGGAGTCGGTTTCCTCCTGAGATTTAGTGGACACTGGTTAGTTCAGCACCATAAAACCAGCTGGCACATAAACAAAGCCATCCGAAGCTTCTAGCTATACCCTGTTCACTTCAGGTTCTGTGTGTGTGATTTATACATGATATGTTTCAGTGGTAGTAACTTGTAATCAGGAAAAATATGCTCCTTTTAGCCCCCAATATTTGCAATTTAGACATGAAGGGCTTTCCGTAGCTCCATCCTTGTTTGCAAGAAGCCATATGTAGACAGACTCAGTTATGGTTGTGTTTTCTGTTGTTTCCATGTCTTCTCGCATGGCCAGCCTGATGTGCTCCTTCCCATCCAAACTGTTTTATAAATATCCATTGCTTGCAGAAACATTAATGCCACCAGTTTGAATTGGTCAATAATGACAAACGTGTGGTTTCTGAATCACTGTACATAGCTGCATGAGATTACTAAAGTATATATGGGAGTGGGGAGGAGGGTTTCAAAGTGTTGTATTTGGATTAGATTGGCTTTGGCTAGAAGAGAAACAAACAGTGTTAGCAAAGACGTGGCAAGCACTGTGGCCTGCTATAATTGTGGGGAATCAGAAACCTGAATGGGACTAAATTAAAATGAGAGCTTGCAATTGTTATCAAAGAAACGCGGCTAACAGCAAACTGTAAATGTTTAGACACCTCCTGTGCATCACTAAACAAAGGAGAGGGACAAAAATGGGACCTAAGTGCTAAAGCCTGAAAACACTCTAGCAATATGTCTTTAAAAATATTTCTGACCTCCCCCCTCTCTCTTTTTTTCAAACGAGAGTGGGAAATTGTAAAAGGCTTTGCAAAAAGAGAAAGAGAAATGCCGTGGCTGACAATAGCAAGAATGAAAAATAAACCGTAAAGAAGTGTAGATAATAATACAGTTAGCTGGCCAAATGTGGTCCCTGAATGTCTAGAAATGGTATATAATTGTGACAATCGGGCATGTGGTCATGGAACTATAGGGCATGGTCTCCATCATCAGCAATTTTTGTTCACAAAGTGATGTTTATTTATAAATATTGCAGTCTCCATGTTCTTGGCCCAAAATATAAATTTTAATACAAGAGTCAAGCATTATACTTTACAGCTTTTGACAAAAACTTGATGGTGAAAATTCTAAAAATTAGCATAAAAAAGAATTCTTTATAAAAACACATATTCATATTTTGCATAGAAATGTAAACATTATGCATCTATGGTTAATGATTTTTAGAAAGTCCTAAAAAAACATAGCTAACCAGCACGTTTATGTGATTTTAAACACTGGCTTTTGCTTCATATGTACACTGTAATCCCTTAACTTCATTACTAGGTAAAATATTGTTTAAAAGGAGAAAAGCATAGACAGGTTTCTTGGGTCACATAAATATTGACATAGCCTTCACTCCTTTCTTCCCCAAACACAGTTCATGCCAACCCAAAACCACTCTTACACACAGTCACTCTGCAGAAATCGTGCAAAAAGAATGGCTTCTCTAGAAAACACCCACAGAGCAAGCCCTTTAGAACAACGATGTTTCTACGTATCTCCCAGGGTGTCTACCAGTAGGGGTGCCAGAGTTTGCTGATGAGAAATTAACAGTGGTCTAATCTGCTGTCCCAAGCTGGTGAGTGACACCCAAAGCCTCTTTATAAACAGAAAAAAAAATTCTATGGGCAGGTTTGAGACCACACTTAGATGTAATGTTCACAAAGCTGGCTTAATATATGACTTAAGTGTCAGAAGTCAGGTTTTTCTGAGAATTACTTTTCAAATAAATGATTTCATACTTCTACGATAGTTTTGCTTATGAGAGCTGCCTCACATATCACTGAATTACAAAGAACTTCAACTCTATTGTAATTGCCACAAAGCCGGTTGAAAATTCTTTCTGGCACTTTGAAAGAGCCCTGTTACATGACATCAACACATACAGGTCGCTCAGCCCAAATAACCTCCTCCAAGGATTGAGTCTATGGACCTCTTCTGAAGCAACGAAGAGGGCCATTAGAGAAAAAAAAATATTTCAAGAACCTACTCGCAGTTTCTGCAGGCCCTTTCCTGCAAGGTTGTGTTCTCCTACTGAGTTCCAACAAGATTTTTACCCCTCTAGCCTCTTCCTATCCTGGGAAATCAGCGACTATCTTACTTTTCTCAAACCAGACAGATCAATTTTCAACTGGCCTTTGCCGAAAGGTGGCGCTGTTGAGGTAGAAACCAACTCGATCCAACAATAGTTTTTACTCTGGATTCTTTTGCAGGCTTTTCGGATTTTTTTTTTTTTAGTACACCTTTATCCTTCATAGATACCCCCTTATAGTTAAAATAAATACATAAATACGATTAATACCAAATGCATTTCCTTATACGAAGGAATCAATGGTCCTAATTTCCAAGCAGGTGAGCCCTTCTTCCAAATATAGGGAGACTTCAGACAACCTTGCTTCCCCCAGCCAATCTCTGCTCTTTCGTTTTGCCTATCGCTTTAAAATCTTAAAAGAGAGTTGTTAGCTTCTTTTCTTTTTTTTTTCTTTCCCTGGCCCCCGCCCCCCATATTTTTGCATACTTTGGAAGAATCAGTCAAGAAAATTAAACTGGTTATTAGCATTTGTAACGGGAGGGGACAACCCTACCCCACCCCCTCTCCGGGTTTCCGGACTTGTCCAGAGAAAAAGCGGTTTAAAATTTAACCCTTGGAGGGGAGAGAGGAAGGGCTCTGGGGTATTGTTTCCCCCCACTTCACCACCAAGTTCCAAACACGAAATAATCAAACGAGATGGGAGGGCAAAGGGCACCCCGGACCCTGATAAACAGAGTTTGGATTTCATAATGGTGAGGGGACGGGGGCAATCCCAAGCATGGCTCAGGTTTCATAAATGCAAAGTAGTAAAGGGAAGAGAGAAGAGACTTTGCTGGGCAGGAATAAAGAGAAAGAAGGAAGGAGAGAGGAGAGAATGAGTGTGAATATGATTCTCAGAAGCCAAACTCCCAGAGTCAGGAGCCTGAGGGTTGAGCCTGGCTGACCTGGCTCTGAACGTCCGGAAATCAACTTGCTGGCAGAGCCGCGCAATCACTCTCTCCAAGGGCCTAAGAGGCCAGCAGGGCAGCAAGTAACTATATAGAACGTCCCCAAATACTTAAGGCCCCCTCGTTTTTCAAGAGAGTCTTAAAGGTTTTCTTCTCCGCGCAAAATCCGAACAACCAGTGCAGACACACCATGCACTGTGCGCATTCTGGGTCCCCGCATCCTTGGCGCCCCCATCTGATCACCACACTTGGAGAGGGACAAAGAGTTGAGTCAAGTTGGACCCCGAAGCATCAGATTCAGGGAAAGAAGGACCCCCACTTCACCCCCCCCACACACACACACCTCATCCCCCAACAGCCGCGGAGGATGCTTAAGAAGGATCGAAGAGCGAAAACTGCAAGAGGAATGAATGCACCTTATCAGGGTGCTGGACCTGCAAGGGACAGGAGCATTCAGGATCTCTGCAGAGCCAGAGCTGCGGCTCAGCAGGACAGGCCTCCAGCTCCGAAGAAAAGCAAACCTTTTTCCCGAGTTCTCCCATATTCCAGCGTCTTTTAAACAAACTCGGTCCCCTGGTGCACTAAACTTCAAGCGGGGCGGGGGGTGGGAAATGTTGCTCCCTGGCTGCACCAGAGCAGCGGCGCCGCAAGGGTTAAGCCAGCCTGTCCCAGCTGACAGTCAGCTGATTGGGCTGTGATTGACAGCTCCGAAAAGTTTCCTTGTTTCTATACTATTATGCTAATCGCGGCCGCTCTCGCCACCTCCCATTGGAGGAGAGTGCCAGTCAATTTCCCATTTGAGCCTGACGTCACGGGTGCTATAAAACTCAGCAATTGCTTTAAACTCTTCTCGCTGGATCAGAGGCTTTAAAATCTTTTTTCATCTTGGAGCTGTAGCTCGGACTGCTAGTCCGCTCGGCCTCTCCCCCCACCCTTTTGCTCTCGCCTCGCCTTGGCCCAGGACTTTGCAATTTTGCTTTTTTTTTTTTAAAGCCAAAACCAAAAAAAAAAAAAAAAAAAGGCAAGCAAGAACTAAATTCCCCCCCTCCCTTGCCTCCAGCGGGCCTGCACCTCGGTCTTGCACTTTGCACGGAGGGAGAGGGTGAGAGAGAGAGAGAGAGAACGCACGCGAGGGATCCGGAGAAAGAAAAGAGAAAATAATAATAGTAATCATAAGAGCCAGGCAGAAGAGGAGAGAAGCGCGAAGTGTTAACTACCCAGGTGCGGAGGCCCGCGCCTCCGGGACAGACACCCGCCGCGCCACCCAGCCCTGGAGCAGCCGCTGCGCGCGCCCCGCCTGCAGCCGGGCCAGCTTAGGCGAGCCCTCCTTATGCAAAGCGCGCAGCGGAGCGGCGAGCCGGGGACGCCGCGCACCGGGCCAGGCTCCTCCGGCATCCTCTCCGCCGCCGTCATCTCCACCGCCGCCGCCAGCTGCGGAGGACCCTCCCGAGCTTGAAGCGCCCGGGATCGGAGCTCAGGGAAGCGAGCAGGCGAGGAGGGGGCCCGGGGCGAGCGGGAGAGAGAGAGAGCAAGAGAGAAAAAAAGAGAGAGAGAGCACATTGGCGTGAGCAGGGGGGAGGGAGGGCGGGCGCGGGGGGCTGCGGGCAGGGCGGGGGGGTGTGTGCACGCTCGAGCTTTCGGGCCACAGCCACCGCCGCGCAAGCTAGAAGCGCCCTAGCCCGGCAAGCTGGCTCACCCGCTGGCCACCCAGCACAGCCCGCTGGCCCCTCTCCTGCAGCCCATCTGGCGGAGCGGCGGCGGCGGCGGCGGAGGCAGGAGGATGGCTTCAGAACTGGCAATGAACAATTCCGACCTGCCCACCAGTCCCCTGGCCATGGAATATGTTAATGACTTCGATCTGATGAAGTTTGAAGTGAAAAAGGAACCGGTGGAAACCGACCGCATCATCAGCCAGTGCGGCCGTCTCATCGCTGGGGGCTCGCTGTCCTCTACCCCCATGAGCACGCCTTGCAGCTCGGTGCCCCCGTCCCCCAGCTTCTCGGCGCCCAGCCCGGGCTCCGGCAGCGAACAGAAGGCGCACCTGGAAGACTACTACTGGATGACCGGCTACCCGCAGCAGCTCAACCCCGAGGCGCTGGGCTTCAGCCCGGAGGACGCGGTCGAGGCGCTCATCAGCAACAGCCACCAGCTCCAGGGTGGCTTCGATGGCTACGCGCGGGGAGCACAGCAGCTGGCCGCAGCGGCAGGGGCCGGGACCGGCGCCTCCCTGGGCGGCAGCGGCGAGGAGATGGGCCCCGCCGCCGCCGTGGTGTCCGCCGTGATCGCCGCGGCCGCCGCTCAGAGCGGCGCGGCACCGCACTACCATCACCACCACCACCATGCCGCGGGGCACCACCATCACCCGACGGCCGGCGCCCCGGGAGCCGCGGGCAACGCGTCTGCCTCTGCGGGCGGCGCGGGCGGCGCGGGCGGCGGTGGCCCGGCCAGCGCCGGGGGCGGCGGCGGCGGCGGCGGCGGGGGTGCGGCGGGGGCGGGGGGCGCCCTGCACCCGCACCATGCCGCAGGCGGTCTGCACTTCGACGACCGCTTCTCGGACGAGCAGTTGGTGACCATGTCGGTGCGCGAGCTGAACCGGCAGCTGCGCGGGGTCAGCAAGGAGGAGGTGATCCGACTGAAGCAGAAGAGGCGGACCCTGAAAAACCGCGGCTATGCTCAGTCCTGCCGCTTCAAGAGGGTGCAGCAGAGACACGTCCTGGAGTCGGAGAAGAACCAGCTGCTGCAGCAGGTCGACCACCTCAAGCAGGAGATCTCCAGGCTGGTGCGCGAAAGGGACGCCTACAAGGAGAAATACGAGAAGTTGGTGAGCAGCGGGTTCCGAGAAAACGGCTCAAGCAGCGACAACCCGTCCTCTCCCGAATTTTTCATGTGAGTGTGACACGCGATCCCAGCTAGCCACCTTGTTAAATGCTCCGTGGGGGTCCGGCTCCTAAGTGGGCTTGCTAGTTGCAGGGCCACGCTCGCCACCACCTCGCCCCCTCCCCTGGCGAGTTTGCTCCCCTTGGCCTTGCACACACAGAGAGACACACACCCGGACACAGACACACACACACACACATACACACACACACACACACCACACACCAAACTTGTGGTGGTGTAACTGTTTTGAATTGGGGAAGGGAGGGGTGTCTGGCTCATGGATTGCCAACGTGAATTCCCCATAACTTGCTAGCTTGGTTGTTCTTAAGAAAAAAAAAAACACCCCTCACACTCACATACACATGTACACCCAGGACTTGCACAAGGGTCAAAGATCTGAGCAGAGTACTTCATGTAGGACATAGCTCACCTTTGAATCCGGCCATCAATCGCCTGTATTTTTTCCCCCTTTCTTCTTTTTCAGTTCATGAGCTGGTGTTCATTCTCTGTGTGTGTGTGTGTTTATTTTGTTTGGATTTTCTTTTGTTTTTTCTTGGTTTTTGTTCATTTTTTGGAGCTTGCCGTGTTTCCCAACCTCCACCCTCATTCCCTCTGCACCCTGTTCTTGAGATAAAAGAAAAAATAGCAGGGTTTTTTTTTTCTCCTCCTGAGTTCTTCTGTGAGATTGAACTTGCAAAGGAAAACAAAACAAAACAAAAAAAATGTGAAATGCTATAGACCTTGCATCGTGCTGAATTCCACCGGGTTTATGTTTTAACATTGTTATGCTAAAACAGAATGAACTAAAGCCCCTCCTGAACCTGCCACAGTCAAGCCTGTATCAAGCTCCTGGGTATGACTCCTGAGTTTTGGCCTTAGGATGCCAAATCTGGAAGTTTAGCCTGCCATTAAAAAGCAAACACAAAACCACAAAAACAAATTTACTCTCATCTCATGCATTATGATGCTTGCTACTTTGTCTTAGCAACAATGAACTATAACAGTTTCAAAGACATTATGGAAAAGAGACATTATATTAATAAAAAAGGCCTGCATGCTGGACATGTATGGTATAATTATTTTTTTCCTTTTTCCCCCTTTTGGCTTGGAAATGGACTTTTGAAGACTTAGCGCATGGCATCCATACTTTTGTTTTACAGCCTCATGACTTTTTTGAGTTCAGAACAACAGAAAAATTACAATCCCAGAGCCTTCTTCCCTTGAAAGTTTGCTTCTACTCCCGACTGCTTTGAGTTACTATGAACTTCAGCCTCCTGTTGTAAATGCACTGAAGGCATTCCTTGTCAAAGATACCAGAATGGGCTACAAATTTCCATGGCAAATATTACAGAATATAAATTAATTTTTTTAGAAACAATGATGCCTGTTTGGGGGCACTTTAAATTGTGCTGTTGCCAAAAGCAGTCTAAATTTTCTTTGAAAAGAAAAAAAGAAAGAAATCTGCCCCAATTATTTTTGGTTTGTTTTATTTTATTATTATTTTTTTTGGCTTTTGGTCATTGTCAAATGTGGAATGCTATGAGTTTCTAGTATATAATTTAATTATAGTTTTTATAATCTGTTAGCCCAGTTAAAATGTATGCTACAGATAAAGGAATGTTATAGATAAATTTGAAAGAGTTAGGTCTGTGTAGCTGTAGATTTTTTTAAAGACCGATGCACTAAATTGTTTACTGTTGTGATGTTAAGGGGGGTAGAGTTTGCAAGGGGACTGTTTAAAAAGTAGCTTCTGAAGCATGTGCTTGCAACTTAAATATAAGTTGGGTATGTGTAGTTCTTGCTATACCATGGACTGTATTGAAAACCAAAGTATTAAAGGGGAAATGCCCCTGTTTATATCTGTAGGGGTATTTTACATTCAAAAATGTATGTTTTTCCAAAATTAAAGTATTTGGGACTGAATTGCACTAAGATATAACCTGCAAGCATATAATACAAAAAATCGCAAAACTGTTTAGAACGCTAATAAAATTTATGCAGTTATAAAAATGGCATTACTGCACAGTTTTAAAGCGATGCAGATTTTTTACAGTTGTGTTGTGGTGCAGAACTGGATTTTCTGTAACTTAAAAAAATCCACAGTTTTAAAGGCAATAACCAGTAAATGTTATTTTCAGGGACTGACATCCTGTCTTTTAAAAAAAAAGAAAGAAAAGTAAATCTTACCACAATAAATATAAAAAAATCTTTTGTCAGTTACTTTTCTTTTACATATTTTGCTGTGCAAAATTGTTTTATAACTTGAGTTACTAACTAACCACGCGTGATGTTCTACCATGCTTCTCATTTTCAATTCTGGTTATATCAAGAGAAAGAATAATCTACAATAATAAACTGCATTTTTTTGATTCTGTTCCGTTTCTTAGTGTACAGATTAACTGGGCCCCATGTCTGGGATGTATTGGAGCTTGGATGTGAAATTCAAAATGCATCCTCTTTGATTTCTGAACAGGGGAGTTGGAGGCAGTAATTCCAGGTGAAATTATAGGCTGTTCTGAGAGCTGAGGAGATTGGCACCACGTAGTCACTAATAATATTTAATACAGAGGCGAATTATGAAGTCTCGATTTTTTACTTCCCAAAGTTTTTAGTTCCCCCAATGAGCTGAGTCATTAAAAAGAGAGAGAAAGAGGGACAGAGAAAGAAAGAGGGAGAGAAAAAGACAGGCACACAGACAGACAGACAGACACACAGACCACACACGCACACACACACACTCATACACACACACACATACACATACTTACACACACAAAGCAGATCTTTCTGGAAACACTGTAAGCTTCTGACCCAGGAATAAATCATTCTAGAGAGAGGGGACCAACAAGTCTAACTCATCAGAAGTGTGTGAGAACATATGCATTTAATGACAGAGATAAACAATTCTGGCCGTTTGGCCAAAATTGATTATTTTTTCTTTTTCCTTTACGTGGCCGGATTTTCTTGTTCCCTGGCCTTAACAAGACAAAATATAAACACATGGTGCAAATCAAAGTTGTTTGATTTTGCTTTATTTTTTTAAATTTTTAATTGGGTCTTTAATTCTTTAACTTTGGAAATCATTTGTCTTAAATGAGAAAATGAAAGTCTACCCTTTCCCCACAGAATTTCTACTTCATATCAGGTTATATCTTTGCTATCTAACTATATTTCCTGGGAATATCCCAGGAGTTGTTTCCACACAGAAAAACTAGGGATTCCATGAATTCCCAAAATATAAATATTAGAAGAAAATAATGCCTTCAGGGGTCGAAAGCTCTGCTTTGATGTGTTAGTGTTTGTCCCCAAATCATGTTATGAATGGGGTCTAATTGAGAGATCACTTCAGAAAAATCTGTTACCTTCAGTTGAATTCTTAAACCCTGACCCATTTAAAACTGACACAAATTCCTGCAACCATGTTACAAATACAGGCCATTTTGTCTTTTGGTAGGCCTCCCTGGAAGTTAATAGAATAGTAGACAAAGCCAACACTGTTTTTGAGAATATAGCTAAACACAATAACCTTAGTCTTATTCTGTTTTCAATTCTTTTTCCACAAAAAAAGATAATATTGCAGCCCTTAGTAAAAGTCTGGTTTTTAAAGACACAGGTAGTTTTTCAGTCTGGTAGATCCTGGCCAGTTTCTCCTAGGCCTGTGTGGCTGTATTGCACAGAACACTGTTTACATTTCCTGTGTTGACCTCTCTTGATGGACTTGAATGCAAGTCCCCCAAACACTTCATTTTGCTTGGCAGAAATCTTAATTGCAAAACTTCTCAGATATGCTGTAAATTAGCTGTCCTCAGTTTTAGAGGTTTTTATTTCTTTGATTACAGCCAAAAAATACACACATATCAGCCCTCTGGAGAGGAGAAAATGGGTATGCCATTTGAACCAAAAGCTCAGTGCCAAAAGGAAGAATTTAGGCAAATGTAGTCTTAGAATAAGAGTGTGATTCATAATAGAATGGCTGCGATTATTTATCAAAAAGAAGGGCCTTGGTGGGGTGGGAAGCACAGGTACATGATAATTAAGCATTTGATAGAATTCTGTAAGGCAGTTCAATATTAGAAGCCAGTTTGGGTCCCGGACATTAAAAGATGAAGCAGCAGCAGCAGAGTGAAAATGAGGCCGAGAGACTGTCTTGAAGAAAGAGTTAACCTCCACTGAAAAGCACTTTCAGACATGATGAAACTTTGGAAGGTAATAGTAAACTCAGCTAAACACCAAGAACCATATCCCTCCCAAATGTGCATTATCACAAATAGATGCCTACGTTTAAGAACAAAAAGGGAGGAAAGAGAGGGAAAGAAATCAAAGTTTAGCTTTCCCTTTTACACTGCATTTGGGACTTTGTCTAAATAGTGTTAAAATTCCTTTCATTCCAATAATGGAACAGCCCCACTGGCAAGTTAGAGGCATCAGTGGGATATGCCGCATTTGGGGAATCCAGCGGCATGTGCCCGATGTGTTCATAAGATATGAAATGTACATAAGATGTATGTAAGCCATACATTAAAATTTATTTGTGGTTTTGGAGAATGATTCCCATTTCATGCCCTTTCTAAGAAAAAATTACTGTGTTAGAGAAAAAAGATAATGAATATGTAACCACCATACTAAACAATTAACTACACCCCTTGTCCGAAGAACTCATAGACAGACCCACAAAAAAGATCCCCTATGCTTATCCGTGCACTAGGCATACAACCAAACAGCTCTAGGAGCTTTCAACATATAATATATATATATATGTATATATATATATATGAATTAGAACCTATGGAACCTGTGTGTGTTATGCAAATATATCTATAAGAAAACTTTCCTGAAAGCAAACAGCTAGCACTTTAAAAGAATATTTGGGCACGTACATTCTTAGCAGTATATCTTCATTGTTTTCCTGGCAGAGAATTGTACTAAGAAAAAAAACAGCAAAAATTGTGCTTTTCTTCCCAACCCCATGCTGGGAAAGCAGCTCTATGTGACTGGGGACCTTAGTC